GCTTCCTCAATACTGAACAACATGCAAATCTTTAACGTGTACTATCCCCTGGAGTCCTAAGACTTTGCTTCTGCATCACAACCATGCCAAATCTTATCACCTAAGCTCTCTGACGCAGCATTCCTTCTGCTGAGTTTCCTTTATCCCATCTCGCTATGGAATTGAACATATGTCCTTGAGGCTTAGTCAAAACCAATATCCTGAACACACGCCACGCTGCCCTCTCCATCCCCTTGCCCTCACTCCTTCTCCACGCAGGAGCCCCTTCCCTTGTTCTCCTTCTGCCAATACCCATCCCTCACCAAACCCATGCAGCCATGTATGAAACCCAGCTTGGGATCAGCTGACACCCTCCTACAGATCACTGTCTGTTTCGTGTATTGGCGAGCACTCCCCACTTAGCTTGATCTCAAATTGCTTGAGGTTAGAGAGCACGTCTGAGAATTCCTCGCCTTCACAGCACTTAGTTCGGAACTGAACACAGAGGCGGTTTTCAGAAACAGTTGTTGGTTGACTGATTAATTGGCATTCGTCTTGATAGCTCCTGGCCAGACCAGAATAAGAAAGCTCTTTGGGGAGGGAAACATTGTCTCAGGTAGAGTGACCTAGCACCCCAGTTTGTTCAAGACTACCTCCATTTTAGCACTGAAAAGTCCCATGCCCCAGGAAACCCCTTGGTCCTGGGCAAACTGAGATGGTTTGTCACCTAGCTTCAGGAGTCCCCGGTTCAAACTACGCCCTTTACACTCCAGACCAGATACCAGTCCTCTCATTTCCACGTCATGTGTCTGCCCCTACATCCCTGGACACACATACATACTCACATGAGTCATAGCACCATTTATCTATCCCCTGCTCTCCCAGCTTGTATCCTGCCATATAAATTAGTGGTCCACAATTGCTTCAGACTACCGACCAAAGAAAAACGTACTTGTCATCTCAGCCTCTTCTCTCAGCTTTGTGACCTCCCCACTTATCCCTCTGTGACATTCATTTTTCTCCAATCAGCAGAGAACCTGGGTGGAAACACAGTACTCTCAACTCTGAGAGGCTGGATTTCAGGTATTGCTGGCTTCTGCCTTCTGAATCTTTGTGGAATGATCAGGATTTAATGCATTTTCATATATCGGGTTGTCATTCTTAGAAAGCAACAGCTGAGGAAAATCCCTGGTACATGAGCTCCTTCTACCTCATTATCTCCCCACATCCATAATTGCTTTTTTCACACTAATACCATCAAACCCTTCCACCAGCACTTGGGTCCAGCACAGCCTCACCATCTGCTCATGCGACACCAACATTATGGCCTCCCTCCGTGCCTCCCTAAATGGGGCTGAAGAAGGCAGCGGAGACGGCAAGTGTGCCAGCTGGCACGAGTGACACAAACCTAGACAGTGATGAATCATGGCCCAGGACAGGGCAGAGGAAGGGAGGACACCGACGGCTAATTGTGTATCATCAGTGCTGCAAGGCAGAGCTCTCTGCTTGTGGAAGCAGAGTCAACGTGCTGTTTCTGTTCCTGCAGTAAATGCATAAGCTTCTTCTTAATATATGGTCGCAAGAGAATGTTCAATAGAAAAGAAACCTAGAAATCAAGATCCAAATTGTTCTATATTTGCTTCTGTGCATCTCGAACTGGTATTTTATTGAGGACTCTCCAGGGAGCTTGAGGATGGCTTTAAAATGACAGGAAGGGGTTTCTGGCTGCTCAGGGGAGGAACCAAGGCCAAGGTGACTCTTGCTGATGGGTCAGTTCTGTCCCATAGGCTGTGGAAGTTCCCATATACCTCTACCACCCTGCGTCTCCAAGGTTCTCTGTTCTTTATGCCCTGCACTTGATTCATTCATTCATTCAGTTCTCTCTGAATGCTGTTTCCATAGTTAAATTGGCCAAGCAGCTCTTCAAGATTTTTTCTATGTATAGCAAATTTAGATATATTGACCTTGGCTTTTTTATTGTTACTGTTGATTTTGATGTATTTGATGTTAAGATAATTCTGTTTTAAAAGTTTCTATTCATTTTTCTGAGTCGTCTTACATATATATACACATATATACATATATAATATATATACGTATAGATCGTATATATAGAGATCATACATATACATATATATACACACACACACATTATTTTGCTTTCATTCACTTCATTTTCACCTTTTTCTCTTTTAAATGGAAGTGGTAGCACAAATGTCCCTTGTAAAATATAACATTCTTCCTCAACAGAGGAAGCTAGATGCCATTTTTGTTTTTGTTTTATCCAAAAAGCCCCCATCGATCCTGCCTGTTCTCCAAGCTTATTTCTCCTAAGGGCTGATGAAGCTGAGAGAGAGAAATATGTTTCCTGCCATATGGATGAGATACAGAGAAATCAGATCAAGCCTGTGCAGGAGACAGAAACAGCCCCGGAGGCAGAGCCCCCAGACTGTTGGAATCCTAGTGTTAGCTCCAAAACATCCGGGTCAGCTGGCTAGGTTCCCTCCTGTCGGGGCGACTCAATTGACTAGTGCAGCACAAAAGAAATAGAAACGTCATGGCCTTGACTTTATAAACTAGCTACTAGCAAGAGCACCAATCAGTGGGGCAGCTTGGGAGCACCTATCTCTCTTTCCTATAGGAAACATCCTTATCCAAGTCTCTTCTCTGTTGCTAAAGAGATAAGAAATAAACAAAATGCTTGAAACAGTAGAGATGGCGGGCATGAGCATTGGCAATTTACACGTGCCAATAAACAACTTCAGGCACAGAGAAACACACGCGAATGTCTAGAGATTACTGGATGGTCAGAAGTTGTGCCAGGAGGTCCACTGGGGGAGAAGGGGTAGAAAATGTCAGATAATGGAACAAAATCCTCGTAGAGCCAGAAACAAGTCATGTGTGAGAGAGAGTGATTGCAAAGTATGATTTGGAGCCTACCTGGAGATAAAGGTGGTGATGGATACAGCCAAAAGGTAAAGACCTTTATAACAGGATGGTTAGGCGTTTGTACTTTAGACACGTTAACGCTGGAGATACTCGAGGCTTCTGAACCAAAGAGGAAAGGCTTCTAACCAAAGAGTTAGAGAAAATGGAAGGTTGAGGGAAGATTTTTTTTTTTTGGTTGGGGGGTGCCACACTGGGTCTTCGTCGCTGTGCACGGGCTTTCTCTGGTTGTGGCGAGTGGGGGCTACTCTTCTTTGCAGTGCGCGGGCTTCTCATTGTGGTGGCTTCTCCCTGTTGCGGAGCACGGGCTCTAGGTGCGCTGGCTTCAGTAGTTGCAGCATGCGGGCTTGGTAGTTGTGGCTTGCGGGCTTAGTTGCTCCGCAGCACGTGGGATCTTCCTGGACCAAGGATTGAACCCACGTCCCCTGCATTGGCAGGTGGATTCTTAACCACTGTGCCACTAGGAAGTCCTGAGGGAAGATTCTTAATCCAAATGACCCTTAAAGAAAATGATGCCTTCTGCTAGAGTGAGGAGGAATCGCAGAGCTAACGTACCAGAAGCAGGTGTGAGAGAGTGGGCAAAGTTCAAGGCTCTGCTTCAGTGTGGTGGCTAAGGAAATGGATATGAACGTGGATAAAGACGCCAAATGGTGCCTCTCTGCATTGAAGTTGAGCTACTTTGCCTCTCCCCATAACTCTCCACACTTTTGTGTATGATGCGATTTTGATGCTGTGACCCAGGTGTTTTGCCCCCCTAGGGATCAGAAAATGTGGGATTCTAGTCCTGGGTCTAACACTAACTAGCTATGTGACCTTAGGTTAGTCATTCCAGGGCTGGAATAAGAACTTGAGACTAAAACCTAAAGGATTATGGTTTCCCCCTCCCTGCCCCTTATGTACTTTTTTAAGCCATAAAGGATGTACAAAGATGCCCTACCAAGTTCTGATTCTTCTCCCAAAATGATTACTTTGATACTTTTAAACAAATCAACATTTTAAAATATTTTCCCCCATTTTAGTTTCCCTGCTTTGCTGATTGTCAGTCTAAGGACATGTTTGGTTTCCCTGTTGGATGATCCAGCTGTCGTCGGTTCTCCTTGCTGGGCCTCTGTTTTCTCATCTATGAAATAAAGATTTTAGGTGGGAGGATCTCCAAGATCTTTTCCAGCTTAACTTTCTGTAATTTCGTAACCTCAAAGACCTCTTTTCTGTCTACCTTTATCACCGTCTCATCTTGCCATTTGGTGTTTCCTAATGGGAATGAGAAAAATAATGGCATTTCCATACTCCCCCAACTCCTCATACCTATTAAAGGCTACATCTAAACCTCGGTGAGTATCTGGGACATTTCTGAATCAAATGAAAGGCTAATTGTGTCCCTTTTTGTGTCCAAACCTTATGAAGGATATATGTCTATAATAAGACGTGATCATCAGTAAAGTCCTTTACTTGCTGGTAGAAAGCATTTTGGAATAAAGGCAAAATCTTTTTGGAAAAGGATAAAAGTTATGACTGATATAGGATACCTGTACAGTGTTTTCATCCACACCGGTAGTTTAGGTTCTGAAGATTTCCCTTAACCTTTCTAGGCTTCAGCTTTCCTGTTTGTTCATTCATGCATCATTTACCTGCCTCTAATACTTTATAATAAAGTAAGTCTATCTCTAACATTTTATGAAATTGCCCACGAACAGATCTCACCCTACATCTTGCCAATTCATATGCCACTATCCTTTGACTTTTCACCTCTGTCCTGAATGGCAGTATTGCCTTGGTTCCCACGCATCCCCTGAGAGGGGCGCGGCAGAACCTGGGTCTCTCTACAAGCCTTGCTGTGGTCTGCTTCTCAGGTGGGAGCTGTTCATTATTTTCTGGAAGGTTTATGTAACAGATGTTACAAGGCAGACAAGTAAGCACATACTCCCTGAGCCCGAAGCCCATGGAGCCAGGCACGCACACACTTGCCAATACCAATACAAGGAGAGCTGCTGGGTGATGGAGGGAGTGTGCCCTGAGGGGAGGGCACTGCTCGGAAGCCCTGCTAATGTCTCTGTGTGGCCATGCTGTATTTTCAGCTTGTCATCATGGCTGGGACAGTGCTGCTTGCCTACTACTTCGAATGCACTGACACTTTTCAGGTGCATATCCAAGGATTCTTCTGTCAGGACGGAGACTTAATGAAGCCTTACCCGGGGACAGAGGAAGAAAGCTTCATCACCCCCCTGGTGCTCTATTGTGTGCTGGCTGCCACCCCAACTGCTATTGTAAGTACAGAAAAGGATTTCCTTCTTTACTGTTGGATCCTAAACAACATTTTCTGTCTGCCTTTTCTCCTCTTTCCTCTCTTCCTGGGCGTTCACCAGCAGCCTTATCAGGCATGCCCTGTTTCAGCCCAAACAGAGTGAGTAGAGCTGTGCATAAAATCTCATTAAAATAGGTCTTGTCTTTTATAGGTGGCTTTTGCTTTTTGGTTCCTGAATTTAAATATATATTTTTAAAAGAATGTCTGAATGTCATACGTATATATTTTTTAAATGAACAGGCCTGAGTGGCTGCCATGTTAAGAACAGCTACTGTACTCTTGAAAAAATATGCTGTGCGTTGTGTGTATTCAGAAGAGGTCTTGACTGTAAATGCTGGCCTTGATACAAAGCCTCAGTCAGAGTGGAATAGAATCCCCCAGGCCTGTATCTCTTGCTCTTCTGACTGAACTTCCAGAGATGAAAGAAACCCCTTGACCTGAAGTTTGCTGTGAATTGTTCTGGGCGGCTCTGGCTCTGCTCACGTTACATCACATTCAATTAAGTTGCAAATTTACTGTCATTGATTGCATTCTTCTCTCTCAAGAGGCAAAAAAAAAAAAAAAAAAAGTGGCCAGACAGGCCTCTTGGGAGACTATTTCAAAAGCATAAAGCTCATAGATCCATATTGTCTGGTAAAATGATTTAGCATTTAGACATCTTAATTTGATTTTTAAAAAAATGACTTTGTGTTTTTAAATAAACATTTCTGTGTCTGAACATGCTACAACGCCAGATTATTTGGGATGTAATTTCAGTTATTATTTCCTCCCTTTCTCTTCCAAAGCTGCCTCCCCCCCAACTCTCCCTCCTCCCCTACCTGCCCTCTCCCACTCCCCTCTCCTTGGAGCAGTAATAAAAATACCGACTGGCATGCTGAGGAATGTACTGATTGCTCAGACATTCAGTTCGAGTATTGTTTTCTATGCAAATGTTTTACTCGCTTTAAGATGAGAAATAGAATAGAATTTTGAGGAGGAAATAATATGGACATAATGAGTCGTAGTACTTTAAGTTCATTTTGATCATTGATCCTAGACTTGACAAGCTCCCCCTTAAATAATAAGGCTATGCCATAGGAATTAAGGTCAGCAGTGATAAAACACGATCTATCACAGCTGTTAAAAACACATGCTTTGCAGTCCGACCTTCCAGGGTTCACATCCTGTCTATATGACTTCAGGCAAGTCACTCTACTGTTCCCTCCCCCCAAAATGGGGATAACGTGACTGCCTATTTCACAGAGTTGTCAAGACTTAAATAAGATGCTTCATACAAATGACTTGGCACAGCGTCTGTCATGGACTAAATGGTTAGAAGTCGGGGAAACAAAGAACCTGGCTGGAAACCCATCTTTACCATCTTCAGGATCACAGACCAACTTCCTCTCCCTGCAGAGGAGATTCCACTGAAACCCTGGTATCACCTCCTCTTTAGAGCGATGGGGGATGTGCCCTCTCCCAGAGGAAGGCTGATCTCCGTGTTCCTCTTACCTTTCCCTTTTCCTTTCTCACCAGCCCAAGGACTAAGAAAAAGCATAAAAGACACGCTTCTAAGTACCTTAAAAGGTGACACACTTCACTCCTCAGGTAAAACCTGGAGGCCACATTGGGTTCTATCTGTAATGGTTTAATGGCAGCTCTACCTAGTCCTAGAATTAGTCTGGAATCAGGTCCTGGTTTCTTCCTGTCCCATAAACATATCATTTTCTCATGTACTCAGACATAAATCCCTGAGTGATCCATTGACTAACATATTTTCCTGTCTTCTTCCCAGTCCCAGGAAACATCATTGCCTAGGTTCTCTTGCAATCACTTTTTGTAATTATAGAGAGTTTTTTCCCTTTAAAAAACAAAAACAAAAAAACAAAGACACATAAGGAAAGCAAGGGAAACAGATCAATAAAAATTATGAAAAATCAGTGAATCAGAAAACAATAGGATTAATAAGTAAAATGTACAACCCCCGGTTAGTCTAATATACGAAAGGCAAAAGTTAAAAAAAAAAGTCAAGAAAAAGAAAGAATATATAAGCAAAAATATATAAACCTTTAATTCTACACTGTAGTTTTATTTAAATTGTATATTCAATTCTATGCCAATACATGCTTACTTCTCAATAAAATTGATAATATTCTACGGAAAGATAACTTACTAACGATGCCTTTAAAAATGTAGAAAAGCTGAATAAATGAATACAAATTTTTAAACATGTCTAAAATTTATCTCACGAAATAGTACTGGGGACACATAACTATAGTATAAATTCCTTCAAACTTTCAAGGGATAGAAAACCCATAGCTGGGCTTCCCTGGTGGCGCAGTGGTTGAGAGTCCGCCTGCCAACGCAGGGGACACAGGTTCTAACCCTGGTCTGGGAAGATCCCACATGCCGCAGAGCAACTAAGCCCATGTGCCACAACTGCTGAGCCTGCGCTCTAGAGCCCGCGTGCCACAACTACTGAGCCCGTGTGCCACATCTACTGAAGCCCACACGCCTAGAGCCCATGCTCCACAGCAAGAGAAACTACCGCAATGAGAAGCCCACACACCACAACGAAGAGTAGCCCCCGCTCGCCGCAGCTAGAGAAAGCCCGCACGCAGCAACGAAGACCCAACTCAAATATAAAAACCCAGCCAAAAATTAATAATTTAAAAAAAGAATGAAACCCATAACTATGTAAACTGTTCCAGAGCCTTAAAATAAGTGGAAAGCTTTTCAATGCACATTATGAGGTGAGAAAAATATGGATTTCAAACACTTAGAAAGTCTACACCCACAAAAGCATCCTCAATTAGGAATGTTGTTGCAGGCAGATAGCAAAGGATTGATAGATTTCTCTACCTGAAAATAAGCATTTCTACCAAAAGAAAAAGTAAATAAAGACTGCAAAAAATTTTTGCAGCATGAGACTCCAATGTAAATATTCCCGATACTTAAAAAGATGAGCTTCCCAAAATAAAAATGAGAAAGGACAAAAATAGACAATTAACAATAAATTGTATGCATATAAACATTTCTAAACTCATCAATTATCAAAGAAAAATTATTTTAAATACAGTATTTTTCCAATATAAGTTTGGCAAATGTTTTAAAGTTTAACCCGTGTTGTTAAAGGTGCAGATACTTTCATACAATTCAAATGTAAACTGACATTTTCTTTCTGAAGAGCACCTGGTCGAGATGTACTGAGAGTTTTATAAACTTCAGACCCAGTCATTAATTCCATGCCCTGAATTTATGTTAAGGAGATAACCAGAGTTTTATATAAATACAAAGACTTGTATATAGGGATGTTCACGTCAGTGATAGTTTTAAGAGTGGAAGGAAAACTTGGCTAAATACACAGCACTAGAGGATTGTCTAAACACATTTTGGGCAGTCATGTTTCTGAAAAACCTCTAATAGCAAAGAAACATGCTTGTGATTTAGTGAAATGATTTTTATGAAGGCTAAAAAATTGTATATAGTATTGCAGATAAAAGTTTTTCTCTTCTATAAGAGAATTTGAACTTCCCTTAGTTTTCTAGCTCTGTTTCCTTAGAAAAAGATATGTATCAGCTATGTTACTAGGCAAAATTAACCCGATTGGTGAATTGCATCTGGACTCAGAGAACTATAATTACCTGAAAAGGTGCCATGCTGTGACTTCCAAGTACAGTGACTCTGGACACTTGGCATGTCCAGTGTGGGCACTTGGAAGCTATGTCTATGGAGTTGCTATACCATATATTGACTCCTATGGGACATGATGAGTCTTTTAAGCTGGTGGCTCCTGCGTCCTCTGATATGTCTGCAGTCTCCTTGCAGCTGAAATGTACTGGACCACTGCAAGGGCATGTGCTAAAGAGGAGCATGTGGTGCTGCCCTGTTGGCAAGCTATTGTTCCTCCCAAGTGGACCAGTGCCAAATGAAGCATGTGGTTGTCTGTGGGGCTGAATATTTAATAGACCCTAACAAGACAGCATGTGTGTTACAAGTATAATCGCAAATTTATAATTACACATAAAAGACTAGTAAGAAATAAACTAAAAATGTATAGCTGTTATCTCTGAGTGCAAATGGTACAGTCTTTTTTCTTTTGTGATATATATATATATATATGTTTAAATTCTACATCAATGCAGTATTTTCAAATTGAAAGATATATTTTTAAAACATGCCAGTTCTTCTGACATAATTATGAAATGACCAATCTTTAATAAGACTTGAAACTAGCGATTCTAATAAACAAAAACACACATGGCCAAAAAACAAAACAGAACTTTATGATGAATTTTCTCTTCTCTTTGGGTAAAAATGATAGATCTTTCATTCTAAGATTTTCAGCAAAAACTGTTCTTCCGCCTACAAATTTTGATCACATATCTTCCACCAGTTCCTTTTCCCCAAAGGACACAAACTGACATGGGGTCAAATGCTCTGATGGGAAGCCATGGGGATATGGCCAATGGATAGTGAACTGAGTATTAAGGACCTACAGTTCTACTCTAGTTTTCAAGTATGGAACCCTGATTCAGCCACTCCATTCCTTTGCTTCTCTGGGTGAAAAATGTGACCAGTAATGATGGCAGTCCTCCAAGATATGTGCTGAGGAATATTCCATAAATGATGATGGCAAGAATAACATCTTTTAATTTACTTGTATTCTGCAGTCTTTGCCTACTTTATCGTCACAGCATCCCAGTGAAATAGAAAAGAGACATCCCAAAGAACATAGAGAAAGTTTGTGGTCCAATTCCCTTTTTTTTTTTTTTTTGAGGTACGTGGGCCTCTCACTGTTGTGACTTCTCCCGTTGTGGAGCACAGGTTCTGGATGCGCAGGCCCAGCGGCCATGGCTTATGGGCCTAGCCCCTCCACAGTACGCGGAATCCTCCCGGACCGGGGCACAAACCCATGTCCCCTGCATCGGCAGGAGGACTCCCAACCACTGCGCCACCAGGGAAGCCCCCAATTCCCTTCAT